ATATGTTTTCATGTCTCACTAAATTTACCTGTATTTATATACCATAGTTAGACGACATATAGTGATATCAACCAAAAAAAATATATCATCACTCTCATGTTGACATTTAATGGATGAGATACGTTTTATTAAGAAAATATTGCAAATACGGTTTTCAATAATTATCTTCCTACAAAAATAAAGAAATTGCTTTACGTACAAGTTACAGATTAACCACAATCAATATCGTAGATTTCATAAATTTTGGTAACTTACCGTAGTTGGATTACCATTAACTGTTAAACTTTAAACTTTTTAACTAATTCAAAATCTTCAAGAAATATTACTTATTTCTCGAAAGAGATATTTTAAAAAATCATATAAAATATTCTCCTCTACATTCACGTAACCTAATTGTATATCATCCCTACCTATTATAAATATACCCTCTCTTAACCATTATAATTATCATCCCTTCAAAAACCTAAAATAAAAATGGCGAATAATTTGCAGTTGTCTTTCTTGAGCGATATAACACCGAGGAAGACTGCTGTCACATCCAAGTCAAAATCCTTCATACGTGGAGACATTTCATGAAAGACTAAGGGAGTCCATGGAACTAATCCTTTGTGATGTAAATTTATCGTTTTGTATAGATTTTTTATTTAGATATCTTCATTTCGTTAAAATTTAACCTAAATGATAACGTTTTATGTTTATATAGGGAAGTAAGATCCATGCCTCGTGTAACAAGACATACATTCTTCGATTGGCAAAAGAAATTACTCAAATGCTTATGATTTATTTTTGGTTATAAGTGAGGTCCAAATCTCAAATGCTTATGACGTAAGTCAGATGTTTGTTAATCCTGAAATACCAGAGACATATGAATTTAAACAACGGTATTTATCTTCTTCAACAAAAATATTGATACTTTATAATAAATAGACTAAATTATAAAACTTATTTATAATCGCAGAGGTAATGATGATTCTCGAGCGTTAACCCTGGCTGAATCAAAATCGCAGAGGTAATGATGATTCTCCATCGATCCGTTTTATGATTATGTTTGGTTAGAAATAATAGTTTTAGTTATGTTTTGACAATCGCGTAATGATGATTCTCGAGCGTTAATCCTGGCTGAATCAAAATCACGTTTTGTTTTCACCCAGTAATTTTTATCTTAAATAATATTTACTTTTTCTTGACGGTTTATTGACTGATTTATTTATATGAAAATACCTAGTTTTTTATAAAACATATCAATATACTATGATATAATAAAAGAAAATCGATTTATACTATTTGCTGCATATTGAAACAGAAAATGAGATACTTGGAGTAACAAATCTCATTTGTTACTCCAGAATCTTGCAATATTTAAATTCTTCCTTATATACTTGGAGTTATCTTTGACTCTCATAAAAAAATATTTTTGAGTTACCTTTGACTCTCATAAATTAATTTTATATTTTATAATCAACAAAAAAATACCCGCCCTTCTTAAGCGCGGGTCAAAATTGAATATTATTTTTATTCTTCAAAAAATCATAGATTTAATTATTTTAACTAACATAAATAAACTATATAAGAAGCGCGGGTCAAAATTGAATATTATTTTTATTATTCAAAAATCATAGATGTAATTATATTAACGAACATAAATGAACTATATAAGAAGCGCGGGTCAAAATTGAATATTATTTTTATTGTTCAAAAATCATAAATGTAATTATTTTAAATAACATAAATAAACTATATAATTCGATTAACACATTTATTGAATTCAAGTACAAATTTGTAATACAATTTTGGGCATTTTCAATAGTATTGATTTTTCAAATTTTACAATAGACCATGGACCCATCCAATTTTGGTTTCAATCTAATATGTGTTTTAATTCTTCATACTCTCAAACACTTAATTTTCTTATTCTCGGTTCAATCACAAACTGACTCGGTTATGCAAAACTCAATGAAAAGATCCTACTAAAGGTAAAATATACATCAAATTTCATATATAAAACTATCATATAATAGAAATCGAATCATTTGATACATTTTGTTACAACCAAAAAATGATAGTCCTTCATTTCATGTTTTTCTCCATCTTAAGACATTTGAGAATGGAGAATCCATCCAAATGTTCTTCATTTCATGTTTTTTCTTCATATATGAAATATGTTTTCATGTCTCACTAAATGTACCCGTATTTATAAACCATAGTTAGACGACATATAGTGATATCAAATATGTCGACATATCATCATTCTCATGGTGACATTTAATGGACGAGATACGTTTTGTTAAGAAAATATTGCAAAAACTATTTTCTATAATTATCTTCCAACTAAAATAAATAAATTGCTTCATCTACAAGTTTATAGATTAACCACAATCAATATCGTGGTTAGTCATTCTTTTTTTGGATTCCATAAATTTCGGCAACTTACCGTAGTGGTATTACCATTAACTGTTAAACTTTAAACTTCTTAACTAATTCAAAATATCTTCAAAAAATATTTCTTATTTCTCGAAAGAGATATTTTTTCAAATCGTCTAAATATTCTTCCCTACATTTGCGTAACCTAAATTTATATAGTCCATACCTATTATAAATATAGCCTCTCTGAATCACTATATTCATCATTCCTTGAAAAAACTAAAACAAAAATGGCGAATAATTTGCAGTTGTCTTTCTTGAGCGATATAAAACCGAGGAAGACTTCATGTCACATCCAAGTCAAAATTCTTCATACATAGAGACATTTCATGAAAGACATAGGGGAGACCATGGAACTATTCCTTTTTGATGCAAATGTAAGTTTATCGTTTTGTATAGATTTATGATTTAGATATCTTCTTTTCGTAAAAGTTTAACCTAAATGATAATGTTTTCTTTTTTTATATATAGGGAACTAAGATCCATGCCTCGTGTAACAAGACATACATTTCTGAATTGGCAAAACATATTTGTGTTGGAGTATGGAGGAACATTGATCGTTTCAGTGTGTCTGCCGCTGGTGGATCATACAGATCAACTCAGCATAAGTATCGCGGGTCAAAATCTGATATGTGTTTCAGTGTCTCGGCCATGGACCCATGCAAGCGCGGGTCAAAATGTAATATGTGTTTTAATTTTTTATACTCTCACAATACTTATATTTTTTATTCTCTGTTCAACCACAAACTGACTCGATTATCCAAAACTCAATGAAAAGATCCTACTAAAACGTTAAATATACATCAAAATTCACATATAAAACTATCATATAATAAAAATAGAATCATTTGATATATTTTGTTACAACCAAAATAAAACCCGCGCTTCTCAAGCGCGAGTCAAAATCTAGTTTCCCCTTAAAATTATCCGAAGCCTTAAATTTCAGTAATCATTTGTAAAAGATGAAAATACCCATATTTACTCTTAAATGTGTCCAGATTTAAAAGGCCTGAAAAGTACTCTAATTTATCATTTACTTTTAAATTATTTATATTTTATTAAATATTATTTTCTACTATTTCAAACATTTTGCAGTTCAACTATCAATGCTTTTGATTCTGCTTCCAAACTGGAGAAGATGTCCCTAGGGATGCCGATTATGATCCTGCAGTATGATTTAGACGTTGAATCAAATGCATTTATAATTGCACTATAAAAGGTTTGAAATAGTAGAAACTAATATTTTGTAAAATATAAATAAGTCGAGTTAGTAAGAAAAACATGTACTTATGCATTTGAGTTTGAGGGAGTTGTTGTAGATTGATCATAAGTCGTAAATGTTATCCGTTCTTGAACATCAGCAGCAGCACAGCATTGTCCAGGTTGTTTGAAAAGGTATTTTTTTAATAAAGATAATTAAATTTCGAGCCTTCGAAATGCGCCACATAAATTCAAAATGGGAGGTTTTTCCAGTTTTTATTTTTCGAGGTTTTTCTAGTTGTTTTGAAATGGTATTATGTCCTTGAGTTTCAATCAGATTTAAAATTATACCTTCAACATCATCATTTGGATTATCGAGGAAATGGAATGGGAGCTTGGATAGTCTCCAAATTGACAAAGATTCAGAACAAGTAAACAAGCAATGGCTGAGTGTTCCCTTAGTGCTTTCGACAACAGACACAACACTTCGGTAGTGATCTAAAGCTTATTCTAAGTGAAAACCATGATAACAAGGTTTAGGATTTGTGTTGGTCTGCCATAGTGTAGACTCTTGGACCATCATATTCATAATAATTTTGGTCATAACAAGAAGGGAGCTTGTCTCTAGAAACATGTGGGATGTGGCGGAGGGATTATTTTTGGGCACTTACCGTACACCTTATCAGCCATTTCAAAAGCCTTTTGAGCAACCTTGAATTTTTATCGTTTTCGAGCCATTGCTAATCAATCACAACGAATAGAAAAAAAATGTGTTTGCTTGCTGCGTAACTTTGGTTTCACTTTGATCTGTAAAAGAAAGCCAATCTATAGATATGAACCAAATTAATAATTATATATAATATTAGTCCAATTCTATCATGATTACATTACATCCATGAAGTTTTCTATTTATCCACGAATATGTGGTATGGAGAGGAATGCAAATTTTATAATTTTCTTAAGTCAGTAATCAGTATACTTGAAATTATCGTTTTGGTAAAGATTTAGATGAAAAAGGCTAAAACTCTAAGTGCATATAAAAATACATTACTAGCAGTAATACCGTAACATTTTATCTTACATATGCATCAACTTTATGTTACTTTAAATAAATTGCAGACCAAAATATTTGGTAGCTGTCTAAACCTTATTTGATAGTGAAAACCTTATGTCTTGGTAACTTGGTTGGTACATTTTCTGAATGCAGAAATAAGACTATTAAACTTTCTTATAACTTAAGCACTTTGACATACATGGAGTGTTACCCTTCTTAATTACGAAATTCCTTTATAAGCACTCCTCCATAGCGCTGGAAAGCCTCGTCGCAGCTAATCACCCATTCTTTTGGTCAATGGGATAATTATTACCACTGAAGTATCTTATAGTTGGTTCAACTGAATACTGATAAGTGACTCTGCGAGTAGTAATAGTACTAGTCCTCTCTTCATGGTATAAAATCTTCGACTACCGCAACCGTAAGAATTTTCGCTAAAACGAGTAGGTAACTCGTCTCTAGGAACATATGGTTTAGGGATGATTTTCTGGGACTTATCATAAACCTTATCGACCATTTGAAAACAGATTTTGAGTTGTATTTTGATCGTTTTGAGCCATTGCCACTGAAGACGAAACAAGAGAAGAAAGGTGTGTTGTTTTTGTGTGTTCGGTCTTAGCTTGATTTGGGAAAGAAAACCAATTTCCCTTTATTTAGAAAATGCTTCTCTCAGTTTGATATCCAGTAACCCAACGTTCTCTTTCTAAAAAAATATTTCACTTACTTTTCTGTTGACATATCTTTTATAAACTACTAGGATCGACCCGCCCTACGGGCGGGATTCCATTTTTATGTTTTTGTCACTTGTGTAGTAGTTGCAATATCATTTTGTCAATATGTTAGTAGATTGGATGTGATATGACTGGTTTTACAGTTTTCTTATGGTGTATTTTTTTTATAAGTTTGGAAGTGTTTATATATGTGCTCATTCTTTTTTTCTGTCACCGCGATGGAACCTTCGTTAGTGTCTTCGCACGCCGGATATGTGTAAATTTAATTTAAAAATTATTTATTATTTGGAAGAATTTGTTTATATATGTGGTTTGAATTATCATGTTCATTATTGCCTTCTTATTTTATTTTATTATGTTTTTAGTTTAAACTATTTGATGTTAGAATTTTTAGATTCAGTATCGTTACAATTAACTTAATTTCATAATTTGATACTTGATATAATTTCAAACCTGATGTATTCTTCTTTATTTTGGTAATATATATATATATAGACATATGCTGATTTGTTTGTTTTATTTTATATCATTTTCTTTCATTTATACTTTTATATCTTCTCTTTATCATTGGAATTTCTCAAATTATATATATACATTATTTATCTTGAGAAAAAAGGTAAAAATTTATTTGAGTCCTCAAATATTTATTTATTTTCATTAGGAGTATATATAGCTTAAAGTGTCACAAAGTTGGTCGTCCAGAATTTTGTTTAGGTAATTGTTCACTATAACAAATGAAACGATGACTTAGATGATTAATCAAATAGCATTACATCGAACCTAAACTCTAATCATTTCCCTACATTATTTACACACATATCTTTGTATTATACCTTTTTGTGTTATATTTTTCACATACTCATATTTATAATAATTCTGTTGACGACAAAAAAAAACTTATAAGAATTCTTACAACCGCCTTTCTTGCACTTTAACTCTCTGGTTTATAAATTCTACGCCCATCCCTCCCTCTGTCTCTAGATCATGAACGGTGGTGCAACCTCGACGGCTCAGAACATCGACCATCCTCGTATCCATCTCTCCTATGCTTGTAACTTCTCGTCCTCTTTTCTACCTGAGATTTGGTTTTTTCATCACCACCATCTCTAACTTTGCACTCTAGGTACTCATACTCATTAAAGTCCATTCATAGACATAACTTGAACAATCACCCAATCTACAAAACATAACCAATATGTGAATTAGTGTAAGAACATTCACAAACACAAAATCAATCTCATACGGAAAGTGTCTTTTTTCCTTTTGAGAGTTTTCCTGGCAACTTCTCCAAGTAAAGAATCAACCACCCATAACAGATAAACGGACAATAATGAATAACTTACAATCTTTTGGGAAAAATCTATGATAGTGTTTAATCTAACATATTAGAGATAAGGAGCGAGCGTACAAAAAAGAAGAAGCAAAAGACCCTTTAAGACTATCATTTACCTCGTCATCATGGTCAAAGTACATAGAGACAACAATGGTTTTCTACTTAAACTCTCAACCTAATCTATTCTCAACAAAGTGTGTCATCAAAGTAAATCCAAAGACTCCAACTGCCAAAAGCACCAAGAGAACCATTGTTACATGAAAACATAAATAGTACCAACATAATTGCTGGAAATCGTTACCTTTTTATAGTGAAGGTCTTCAGACGTGGTTGGAAAGTGTCAAGACGGTTGACATTCACGGGTGCCGGCATGAGAGATGACTGTAAAATTATATGGAGAACAAACAAAAAGTATGATTAATGATTCATCATTGAAAGGTGTTTCATTTAGATCTGAGAATACAGTTTCACATATTCATGTGTTTAATCGAAGCAATAAAATTATATGAAGAACAAACAAAAAACATGATTAAAGATTCATCATTTAAACGACTCTGGAAAATTATATGAGGAACAAACAAAAAACATGATTACAGATTCATCATTCAAAGGTGTTTCATTTACAACTGAGAATCGATTTTCAAATATTCATGTGTTTAATCATCAAAATCTCTGTCATAAATAAAGTTTGAGGAAATTGAGGAACGGGATACCTAACAGTAGATGAAGATCAGATCAACGCCCATTAGTTCCCCACCGCGACGGACGTTTCTTCCTTCCCAGAAACGAAGAAGCTGGAATTCAACCCTCGAAGAAGAACGTCATGCCGTCAAATCATAGAGAAACACAGTTTGATTAGCCATTATAACGATTAAGATGTATCTAGAGATTTTGGAATTGGAATGATGATTCAAATTGTATGATGGTGACCTTTTATAGGGGTGAATACACCGCCCATGGGAGGATTAAGAGTCATTGATTACGAAAACGTGGGTGGAGAGTTATGAACTCATTGATGATGGGTAATCGTGGAAGAACCGACTCTCTGTGTTCTTGTTTGGCGTCCATAGATGTATGATTCTCTTGTGAAGAAAACGAAACTCAACTTGAAGAGGAGACCTGTAACCCTGAGAAGTGTTTTTCTATTTGGGCCACATTAAAATAAGGCCCAAATAATAAGTATGAACCCCGTTTGTTTGGTTAGCAAGGACACGTGTCCGATTCTCTGAATCTGATTTATGACATCATCAAGTGATGTGGGGGAAGGAGAAGAGAGTTGAGTCCTTTTTTATATATAAAGATTTGTTTGGCTTTGTGCAAATTAAACATACTGTTTCAATAAAGGAAGTCAAGACAGAATATGAAGACATGATTTAATGGTTAATTGTTATGAAACATAAATAAGACATATAAACTTTTGCATATAAAGATACTGTTTCAATAAAGGAAGACAACACATAATATTAAGACCATCAAAATGAACTTTGAATTCAAATAAACAGAATAGAGACAGGTGTGAGACAGCTTCCTTATCGTGATATGATGGATACTTCTAAGGATAGTTGACGATATTTTGTGATTGAGATCGGTGGATCTTACGCTAAAACTAGGGCACGTTGAAACTGTCTCTTTGGTAAAATAGTAGGGTTTCAGTTTAGATACCCTCCAATTAATGCCTCTAAACCTCTCCTACTCATTTATATATTTTTCCTCTAAAGTATCTATAATAATAAAGTTGAGTTATCTGTCCTCTTATGCTATCCACCTCATTTTTTACATAGGGGGCTTTTCTGCCACGTGTCAATTCACTAAACTATTTCGAATTGATTTTGGTTTACCTCATGATTCTATCGTAGTGGGCTATTTATATAATTTTGAGTTATTATTATAACTTATGATGGGCCTTTGAAAACTCTATGAGAAGTCCATATTTTTAGGTTTCTTTCAATGTTTTGAAACATGACCCAAACACTGAACCGGACGACTTACTGGGTCACCGCGTCAACCGTGGATTAACTACTTAATTAATTCTATTATATAATAATATTTATTCTTTTCATTTGACATATAAAACATTAAAAATAGTTTAGTCTAGAATTTTTTTTGTAACTTGAAAAAACTTATGACATCTAACAAATAATATCAAGAATAATAAACTTAAACATCCTAGAACTTAGAACTTATAACATGTAAAAAGGTAGAATAATGACAAAGCAAAATAATCAAAAACCAAAAACACAAAAAGGAATACAAAGTAGACAGAGGAAAGAAAAAGAAAGACGTCGAAAAATAAAACTGAAAACCTAACTCCTTAATATAATACAAAACAAATTTTAAAAATATAATTATAAATTTATAAGGTTTACAAAAAGTAAAAATCATTTATTGGTTCAGCCGGTGGTTCAACCGGTATCGGGTTTTGGGTTTTACTGGGTTTTTACGGGTTTTTGTGGACTTTTAAATTTTGGCAGTGTTTTGAAACCCGACCCGTACCTGCGGTTGAACTGGAAAATCCGGTGACCCAGAAAAAATCTGGTTTGGGTATCTATGAAAAACCCAAAATATAAAAATCCGCAAAAACCCGTAAAAACCTAGTAAAACCCAGAACCCGATACCGGTTGAACCATGCCAAAATTTAAAAATCCGCAAAACCCCGTAAAAACCCAGTAAAACCCAAAACCCGATACCTGTTGAACCACCGCTTGAACCAATAAATGACTTTTACTTTTTGATGGTTCTTCTTCTAAACATCAGTCTTTAACCAGAGCAACGACCTTCAATGACAATGAACGCCAACCCCTGACAAACATTGAAGGACATGTACGTGCTACCCACTGTCTATATGTGTACTCGGCTAACTCTATTTATTAATTGAGAGTAAAAGTCTATTCATTAAAAAATCAATAGAACCCGTGTTGATGATCAAGGTCATTTATGTTGAGTTTAACTTTAATTTGTTTGACCTCCAAGTTAAACGGTGATTGTGTATGAATCTTTGTTATAAAGCTGCTTCTTATTCATTAAAGGATATACTTATTGAGAACACATAGATCACATTTTGTTTTTTTTTGTTCTTCTTGTCATTAAATTATGGCTTGTAACAAATGAATCTATTCTTTTGAATTGCGAACTTTTATCTTAGGAAGAACATGAATTAATGAAGTGATTTAGAGAGTTTGGAATGTTATCCATGGATGGAATGTTGTCCATTGTATTTTGTCCATAACATCATATTCGCCTAGATCATGTCCACCAAAAAAGTATCAATAAAAGCACATATCTATCTCGAAATTGTTAATCACAAGTTTGTCCACCAAATTTTGTCAATTGTATTTATTATTTTTCCATTTTGTTTAATATTATAAAGGGATTGATATTGTAAAAATGTTTTAAAACGTAACTCGTTGCGTTATGCATTCCTGGTTTTAATTTAATTAAACAAGACGAAGTATTTGTTTTCAAACTCAGATATCCACAACTTCACATGCTCACAACTCTCTCATCCACGACACACATGACCAAACCTAACTCGTCTGTAATATAATTGTCCACAACTCCCATGTAACTAACCTTTTATGTCCACTTATTTTCCATTGACACCTTTTCTATCTACACATTTTTCATTCACAACTCTACTATTCACAACAACTCAAATGTACAAATATAACTCATCGTTCAAACCCTCACCACAAATCTCAGTTGCATTCAAGCTCTGTCCGACATGTTCTAGATCTCAAAGACCCAACACCACCATCGAGTTGATAACTTATGATCCAGATCAAATAAATTCAAAAATAAAGAAAGCTAAAATGGTGAATTTAAATATTTATAATAAAATCTTAATTCTATCATAGCACTAGTATGAGTCACACACGACTCAAACTCCCCTATTCCTCAGTCAATGTGTTTTAATTTTTAAAGAGAAGGTCAAATGTGTTCTTATATGTAACACTGCCATGTTTTATTTATGGCTTCTAAATAAACCATTTGAGTTCAAGCTCATTCCTTCATCGGATCACTGAACGGAATTACAATATAAAAACACAGTGATTATATATAGCTCTCATCTAGCCATCATTATGGTTCATGTTCATAACGCCCATGTTTTTTATCAATGTGTACACATCGTGATCATATATAGCTTCTATCTAGCTTTTGAGTTTTGATTTTTGACTTTTTCTTTAATAAGACCTATAAACAACAAATATCGGAGTGAAAGCCAGTGAAACATTAAAATTCTGTATTCTCCATGTCATATAAGTAAAAAAAAAATCAAAAATTATGAATAGAAAACCAAAGTAAGTTCATTTACCGCACGTAATCTTGAAGACTCTTTTATGGAAAACTCTTTTCTCTTGCACAGACAAGTACTAAAACCAATTAAACGTCTTACACAACATTAGTTTAAAATTGTTTAGTATTAAATTATTTTTCATATGTTTTTCTACAAAAATTGAAACAACTACATATCTCAAAGTTAGATAATAAGTAAGGGTTCAGATGTGATACCCTGTCCCAGCATTATATTATGCGACGTAGAAATTTTCCAAACAGAAATTGTTTGTCTGCCAAACAAAAGGGTTAGTGAAAAATTCCAAGCTAATTTTATTAAATGTGGATATAAGTTTGGAATGACTCTCGACTTAGACTACTTTTAAGAAATTGTAGATTTATTATCTATTTGAGTTAATTCAGTTGTTTCATGTTTAATAAATGTTATATTGCGATTATTTAGATTTATGTTATTTTCTAACAAAAAACTTGTTTTGGAGGTTTTTATAAAGATTTCCATTTGTTATTATGACTGAAATATTCAAATTTTGTATTAGAAAGTTAATCATTTATTTATTTGTTAACATTTTTGACATGATGTTTTTTTTAAAAAAAATTAAGACCAATATTGTTTTGTAAAATGGTAGAATGCAAATGCTATTGTTGATTAAACAACACTTGTAAACGTATTCTTTTATTAAAGATAATCACTAAAATAAATCATCCTTAAATAATATCGAGGAAAGGCAGTGCGGGAATATAATTACGGAGTATAATGGGTTTGCTAAATGTGAGAATAATGAAGAGAAATTTCGTCTAGTGCCAAGTGTTTGTGGAAAATAGAACTATATAGAGGTATAAGTAGAGTTTAATCGGATGCTAAATATATGTGCGAAGAAATTATAGCGAATATAATAATGAAGTCCAGACCCTAACAAGCTTTCACTTTTCTTTTCGAGTGCAATATAACATTCCAAATCAGATTCCCTATACATACTTCCATTACACATTTGATGTATACACAGCACGCCTACAAAGAATCATGTAAAGCGTTCATCAAAATATATTATTATATTGGTTTCGAGTAGAATACTACTTTG